AAAAAATGCATTGTGATTTAGTGTAAAAAAATGTAGTTGATTTGTTAAGATTAATATTTTCATCGGTGTACTTATTAAATGATATACTATGGCCGTCTTACACTAAAAAAAATATACGAGCCAATATTTACAATTTTACATGGATGAACTGAACAATATATATATATATATATATATATATATATATATATATATATATATATATATATATATATATTATATGTATAGATATATATATATATATATATATGAGGGATAACGGTAAAATAATAGAGTTTGAGCCCAATTTATTATGTTAATATCTCTTATGTCTTTTTTTGTCTATATTTTTCTCCTTTCTCTCTTCTCCTTATTTTTCTCTTATCCGTCAATTTATATTCTACATTCATTTATCTTTCTTCCTTTTTTCCTTCCTTTGACTTGTTTTTTTTGTTTTATTCTTCTTCTCCCTCTCTCCTCTCTTATCTCTCTCTTCTCTCTCTTCCCCCATTTTCTCTCTTCTCCTCTCTTTCTATTTCTTTTTTTTCTCTCTCTTTATTTTTCTCTATTTCTTCGCACTATTTTGCCTTTTCTTCCACATCTCATTTTTGGGTTGAAATCAATCTATTTTTTACTCTATGAAATGTCATGTTTCGCCGAAAATGAGATTTATTATCGTCGGTATTCCATTTTACAACACCATAGTTTCGTAAATTGAAAATTAATATAGGGAATTAAAGAAAAAAATTATAGTTGACTACCATTTTTTTTATAGTTGACATCGGAAAAAATATAGCTGACTATTTAATTTTTATAGTTGACTTTGGCAGCAATATAGTTAACTACCCATTTTTTTATAGTTGACATCAGAAAAAAATTATAATTGATTTTGGAACGATATAGTGAACTACCCGTTATTTGTAGTTGACTCTGGATGTAGATGACTACGATATTTTATATTTTTCTCCACAACAATGATCCCTTCTTTGTTGTGGACTCTGATAAAATAAATTTCATGGGAAACAAAAATTTACGAGTCAACAAATAACGCGACCATAGATTTGTAGATCTAAAAAAACAAGTTTGTTTACAAACTCCATTCTTGAGTAATCAACCATGGAAGAATTCTGAACCGTCGCATATGGTCGCCGCAAACCCCCACTCTTCGACATTACTGCACACCACCGCTCACCGTCGTGCTGCACATAACCCCCTTTCGCCGCCATCGCCGCCGGTGCACACTACTGGCCCTCTGCCGTTGTTGAACATAGCAAACTATTTTCGTTGAGAAGATGAAAGAGAAAAGTTGGAGAGAGGGGAGATGGAGAAGAAGAGAAGAAGTTGAAGAGAGCATGTTTTTAGGAAGAGGTAGATAACAGGACAATTTGTTCAGGCGAGATTTTTGGAAGATTTTCATCCTAATTGCGGTGGTTTAGGAAGATAGTTAACTTTTATGAATGTCTCTGTTTCTCATAAGATTGGGGCCGGGTCTTTATCTAACAGAAAATAGGAGAGTACACATGATAAATCATTAATGAGCTAATTGCATATAACCCCCTGTGTAATCTGGAATTGTTAAAAAACCCCTCATGTTAAAAATATTAGCATAGACCCCTCTATATTATTTTTAACAAAGCACACTGCCCCTTATTACAAAATTAGCAGTTGACCTATAGGAAATGACTAAATTAACCCTCATATTATAATAATTTATGTTTCAATTATAAATAAATAAAACTGCAAAATGAATATAATTAGAACAAATCAAAAAGAAAAAAAAAAAAAAACATAATGAAAAAGAAGAAAACCCACGGCCATCATCTCCTCCCCCAACCCAAAATTCTTCCATCTGCATCACCACCACCTCCGCACCACCTGCCTTCCCTCCCCAAAAAAAAATATGCTTTATGTTTAATTTGATGGGTTTTTCCAGATTTCTTTTGAATCAAGATTTTTGTTCGCGACCCTATTCGTCTCATCTCTTCGTCGGAGGTGGGTTTGGAGGCGGCATCATCCGGGCCGGATGAAGCAT